GATCTCATTTCATTAGATAAATAAGTTTTGTTCTCTACAACATCAACCATATATCTGGCAATTTTCGCCAATCCTTCTGACACTGACATAACTTCAACTCTCGGAATATTTTTAGGGAATGTTGTGAAATTAAAATTACTTTCAAACAACAAATTTCTGACATTATCAATGTAATAATTTCCTTCGTATTTAGTTTTGTATTCATTGAATATTTGGATGTATCTTAGTGCTTCACTCAATGAATATTTGATCTGTAAATCAGAATCACTTTCATTATTAATAAATCTAAAAGTGAAGCCCGAAAAATTAAAAATTAAATTGAAATGAGAGATTGTAGTTGCTAATGTCAAATGGAATCTTGTATATGATGTTGCTTCTGAGATTTCCTCTATTTCTCTCAAACCATCTTTGTAGTTTTGCAAAAGAACAATGAACAAAATACTGAAAACTAAAGTGAAAATGAATAAAACAAGCATAGAAACTCTGATCATTTTCAATGAAGGGAATTTCAGTTTTTCTATCATATCTGAAATTGTATTATTTTCTTCAATTTTCAAACCAATCTGTTCATCATCGTAATTCTCTTCAACAACAAAAGAAACATTCTCACTATCATTTGATTTTGCTAAACTAGAAGTATTATTAATGAATCTTGGCATGTTAGGAAATGCTAATAATCCTAATTCTTGTGTATGATCATTCTGAAAACGAATTCCTCGAATCATTAGTTTCGTTTGATCAGAAATCAGCATATATTTATTGATGTCATTTGCTACTTCATATAAATAAGTTGAGTAAGTTCTGTAAAGAAATCTATTGTTAGGAATTTGTGTCAATAATAAATTGAATTCACTTTCAACTTTATTTATCGTTTCAAATGCATTTGAAATTGAACCATCCATTTCACTTATATTGCTTTGTATTACTTGGTCCCATATCTGTCTTAATCTTCTCTTACATTGTAAAACAGATTTTGTTACATGATTGATTTTCTTCTTTATTTCATATGTCAAATTTGTTTCTCTTTCTGTGAAAATTATTTTTGATGTCATCAAACATTGTCTTGCAAAAATTCCTTTTATTTTGTTCTGTATTATCTTGCGAACAATGTAGTTATGTACATCACATAGTTCTGGATAGATTGAAACGAATTTTCCATACGTAACCCAATACAAACTTGAATTTGGATTCTTTTCTGTCAAATGTTTGAAAATTATATTCAAAGTGATATTTGACAGAACAAAAATAATGATTGATAATCAGATAATGAGTTTTTAATAACTTAAATCATAAAAATATCAATAATGGTTGGGAAAAAAGTTGACTTTATGAATAACGATAATTCTTATGAAAAAGTTGAATGAAAAAATTATCGCTATCGTAGTATTCATAATCATTTGCCATAATTTATATATACATCTATTTAGACAGATAAATTTCATTAAAAATTTACATGATCCAATTTGCTATGAAAAAATTATCGTGATCGATTTTTCATATTAAATTATCTTATTGATTTTCCTTGATGTTTTTTCACATATCTTTTTTGAGTTATGTTAACGATTGACGATAGACTTTGTTTGGTCGGACCAACGTCCTCAAAAAACGAGTAGGTGCCAAAAGTGCTTACTCTTAAACAACCGTCGGATTTCCGGGTGAAATCGTGACACACTTTCGTCTTTCGTAGGCGGTGGTGGTTGTTACAAAAGGTAACTTCGAATGTAGCGTGAAATCTGCAAAAAAAATTCTGAAATTTGAATGGATAACACAAAAATTGAATAGTTTACGTCAATAAAAAAGAGAAAAATGAAGCCAATTTGTCTCGAACCTAGGACTTAGAGCAGCAATCCCACTGTTTATCACATTACACTACATGCATCTTTCACCTCAGTGAATGAGATCAACTATATGATAACTTTCCCCCCATTATATTCTTGTGGAAAAGTGACAAATAGCAACTTTGACCCTCTCTCCTCAAAAAACATGATGTTTATTTGTTTTTAATATTAGTGTCTGGAAGTACTAAATCTAACTCTCATATCCATGGATAATGCAATAATAACGTGGTTGATCATTGCATATTTAATGATAATTCCCATGGATTAAATGTTAATTTTTGAGAATTCGTTTCCATATGATTACAATATTGTAATAATAATAGTATGATTTAAAGATATGCGATTGTTTAAGTTTAAAAAATATTTTGCGACTATGATTCATAAAAAACTTGAGGAAAAGTTAAAGCAATTTTAAATTATTAGATTTCAGGCCATTGTTTGAAAAAACAGCAAACCAATAATTATTTAAGATACTTTTATGTTGCCTAACCTCCATTCAAAATTGAGATGTCTTTCAATTTATTTCCCAGATTTTAACGGCATTTATTCGTATATTGAATGCTTCAATTCTAACTTTTGATATTCATAGTATTAATATAACAATAATAAATGAGTTTTTCATAGCCAATTGTGATTTTTATCAAAATATTCAAGGTAGATTTATTGATATTCCATAAACTTTATGTTTGAATATAAATTTAACTGAATATTGACTTAGTCTTATATTGAAAAATATATTTTTGATTACCACTAACGGCTTACTCATTCAAAAATACAAATTATCGGGTTTCAATTAATCAAATAATATCTGTCATTTGAAAAAATTGAATGTCTTTTTGAATTCTGTATGACTATGTTTGATAATAATAACAAATATAAACTTGATAACATGAATACGGATGTTGTTTCTTCAATGAATTATTGCAAATATAATTAACAACTTCTGAGAAAATTTGTCACAATTTTTGGACATATTATTATGGACAATGAAGAAGGAAAAAAGAAGACTCGCATTCGAAAACATTTTTCAAGTGAAGAAGACATGAAATTAAAGAAGTTGGTTGGAGGATATGGTACAAAAGAAGTTGATTGGGATAAAATAAGTCGAATAATGAACAGAACTATTCGGCAATGCAAAGATAGATTTCATAATTACTTAAGCGGCAAGTTTTCTTTCAGTGCTTTTACCACAGACGAATATTTAAAAATCCTAAAGTTGCATTCTATCATTGGACCTAAATGGGTTAAGATTGCAAGTTTCCTCCCTGGTAGAACAGACACTGACATTAAATGTGCATTCAATAGAATGTGCAGAAGAGGGATCAACACTGAAGAAAAATTTTATTATTTTTGTTCCACATTTACAAAACAAGATAAAAATATGAATCCTCTCCTCAAGAATAGGAAGACAACTCCAATGTCAGGTAATTCAAAGCAAAAAGATCAATTAGCACAGCTCAAAACCGATTTTTCTCATGCTGAACAAGTCGTCAATGGAAGTAATGAAACGAATGATGTATCACATGAATTTGATACATTCATCAGCACCAATTCTCAAGATGTGTTCCAAAACTTTATTGTTAATGATACCGAGGGAAATGATCATGTTTTTAATCCCGCTACTGAAATGGAAAATTTGTTTTGATTTATATAGAATTCTTATTAAAATCCCTATTTTTTCTTAAAACTGTATTCCTCACATTATATTCAATTTTATTTTTACTGCATGTTTAAACTTACATCAAATTTAGACCACTTTTTACTCTATGTTATATCTTTATAAATTCATTTATTGGAAATTTCGGAAAAAAACTCATTTATGCTTAACAGCAGTTGAGGCTCTTAAGCTATAAAAGAATGTTTACTACATAATGATAATGTTACATGGCAATTTTTTTCAAATGAAGAAAAATTAGAAAATAATTGAAGTATGAAGAAAATTAGAAAATAGTTCCACAGGAATTATTGTTAAAATTCAATAATTATAGAACAAATGGAGATTCAATTTTTTACCAAACATGTAGTAGGCTTATTTTTATGAAGAGCAATATCACAATGGATTTTAAAATTCATCATGCAGGATATTTCCAACCATAGTAATGTTTCGGTTTAGAATTTTAATGTCACTTTTCCATCAAAATGGATGAATCAAACTTCTTATTATTAATCAATAATTATGCATCAAGCACCTGCGCACTAATAGAAGATTTGATTTTCCAGGCTAACGACAATAATTTTCTTGAAATTTCACAACAATTACAAGATTTATTAAATAATAAATCAGAAGAATACTATTCTTATGCGATAAATTGCCTAAATTCAGCAGCAGAACAGCATCCAGAGTTAAATTATCACATATCTCGTGATAAATCTCTTAAAATTACATCAAATTTACCAGATACAAAATTTATTCGTTCTCTTATTGAAGATGATGTTGAAAACATAAAAGAATGTTTCAATGATCTCATGCCAAAATGGACATACACTGCAGGTTCAGAGAATCTTCGTCCGGCTGATATTGCAGCAAAATATAAATCAAAAAACGTTTTTGAGTTCCTTGTGAAGAATGGAGCTCCTGTAGACGATTTCCTTGGTGAATGTGCCCTTGTAGGTGGAAGTTATGATATCTGTTCATTACTTATGAGAATGAAGTTCGAGCCAAAGGCAAAATTTCTAAAAAGAACAATTAAATCGCATTCGAATCAAATCTCGAATTTATTAATGAATTTACTCGAAGAATTTGATTATAATGCTTCTAAATTAGTCACTTATTATAACACAAGCTTCATTCCTCAAATCCTTTCTTTCGACAAAAAGATTTTGTTAAAAGAAGAATTCTGGGAAAGTTCTCTTGATAAGAGTGTTATTTCCAACAACATTGATTACGTGAATCTTCTTTTTGATGAAAGATTCATATTTCCTCCTTCGTATTTTGATCAAAGAGAAAGTGTTTTCTTTGCTTGCAAATTTGGTTTCGAGAAGATTCTTCAGATTATACTAGATAAATCAAAATATTATCCCGAAATTGTTGATTGCAACATTTCTAAAAATTCACCATTGATTTTGGCAATTAAAAACAACAGAAAAGAATGTTTTGATTTGTTGATTGCAAAGAAATGTAACTTGAATTATTACAATGATACAATTGGAAAGACACCATTGATGGCCGCCGCAATGCAAGATAATAGTTATTATACAAAGATTCTTCTTGAAAAAGGTAGCGATTATTCAATGATTGATTCTAATGGAAACAGTTGTTTGATGTTAGCCTGCGCTGCAGGTAATGCAGAGAATGTTAAAATGATTATAGCAGCTGGTGAAGATGTTAATAGAAAGAATAAAAAAGGTCAAACAGCACTTTGTTTTGCAGCTAAAAATAACAGAACTGATGCTGCAATTGAGTTACTTGGAAGGGGAGCCGAAATCGGAAACTCTTTGAAATATTCAAAAACGAAGGAAATGTCTGACCTTATAAACTTATATATCAGTCAAAGAAATTGATTGTTATTCATATACTAATTGTTAATTTTATAAATAAATGTTCTGTATTATTTCAAATCTCTTTATATCTGATGATTTCAAACTTAAACAATTCTAATTAAGATTTCACCACAATTTAGATAAAATAAATCTTAAATAACAGAATTGAAGGTTTTGGCATATAAAAAAGCTTTTATAGGTGCATTATCGCAATAATTAATGCGGATTTCTGGCCATTTAATTGAAGTGTCATTGAAAATGTACTTTTTAAAATTCATTAATTATATATTTTTCACCCAAAAATTTCTTTAATTGAAGGTCGTATGGTCGAAAGAGCACCCTTCTAACTGTCTTATTTTAAAAAGTCTTTATAATAAAGTCGATCGTTTTTTTGCTATAAATTTACCCTTTTCCTTTGTCAGAAAGGTGCGAAAAACATAAAATCTCCGATATCGAATTACCACATGCAAGTAAGGACCTTCAAGAAGTGAGCTTTTATGGAATGGGTTATACTCAAGCCTACCATATTTGCCAAATTTTGAGGGGAAAAAAAAACGAAATTATAATATGAAACTAAATTGGGATTTCTTTAATAGTCTTGTTTCTATTGCAATTTCTATTGCTGATACTACTTCCAAAAACGAAATTGAGAGTATGATGAGTTGACCGTTTATTTGGGAGAAATACAATAAAATTTTTTTATGGAGAATAATGATAATCTTGAGACAAAAAAGCTTATAAATGAAAACATTATTCTCAAACAAGAGATAGAAAAGCTAAAATCTCAGCTAAACGAAGCATTGCCTGTGGCAAATCAAATTGACAAAATATTTCGAGACAACATTCAGTTAACAAATCAAATCAGGAATTACGAAGCAATAAATGACGATGTGCAAAGGCGTTTAAGGATAACATTGCAAAAAAATAAAGATAATTCACCATGTTTACAAGAAAATGATTCGAAAGCAGGTAGATCGTGTCAATCAACAAATACCGAATATCCTTATATTGATGAAAAAGAATTAGATCAAAAGATTTCAAATTTATCAAATCAAAATCAGTTTTATAGTACTCAAATCGCTAAACTTCAGCGTGATTTAAATAGTATTTTTGAATCATCAACGATTTACTTTTCTTATCCAATTAAAAATGTCGAGAAACTCGTTGAATTTTTCAATACTATTGAAAAGCCTAATATCAATGGACATAACTATATGAATGTTGATAACGATCTCAAGAAAGCATTCAAATGGAAAGAAAAATACGAAAACCTTAAAAATCAACTCAAATCAATTCAATTGAGCTTCGACAAAGAATATTCAAGAATGGAAGAGAGTCACCAAATCAAGATGCACGAAATACAGACTTTACTTGATGAAAAACAAAAGATTATTGAAAATTTATCCAATAAAAACGAAAAATTGATGGAATATAGAGAACAAACAATAGTTCAGTCATCAAAAGAATCACTTGAGATAAATCTTAAACTAAATACTATAGAATCTCAATTAATTGGTGATAAACAGGAAATGTTATATAAAATTCAGAATTTAACCCAAGATTTACAGAAAGCAAAGAAGGAATCTGAAGTTATTAAAAATCAGCTTCGAAAACAAATCGAAAGTTTTCAAAATCTCAAAAATGAATTCAATAATCAAAGAGAAAAGGTTACAATATATGAAAAGGAAAACTCAATGTTAAAGCAAAGATTGGATATTCTTTCTGCTTTGAAATCAAACCAAAAAATCGAAGAAATTAAAGAAATCCAAATTCCAAAAGAAAATCAAGATTTAGAACTTCTAAAAGTTAAAAATGATCATATTGAAAAGCTTGAAAGCCAATTGATCGAAATTAAACTAGAAAATCAAAATAATAAAAATTATATTCAGGAATTGCAGAATGAAAACATGCTACTAGCTAAACAGATCAAAGCTTATCAGAAGGATATTGAAGAAATTAAAGAACAAAAGCCAAAAATTGTTAATTTACCAAAAACATCAAATGTAATCAAAAATGATAACATTTGTAGCAATAAAGAGGATTTAATTGACTTAGCAATCTCTACATTGGATGAATTTCCACCAGATCTCAAGAAAATTTTGATTGATTATTGCAATAATGGAACAATCTGTCTTCCGACCAAACTACGTCAAATTTTCAGAATGATAATTGAATGGTATAGCTCACAGACCTCTCCAATTGAAAATGAAGTAAAAATTAAAATTCCGAAATTAGGAGCGTTCAATTTGTCATCAGATATTGATAAAGGCTTATTAAATGAATTTGTTGCAAAGATTTACAATGAAAATGACAAATTGCAAAACGAAATTACTATTTTGCAAAATGCTTATCAGAAACTACTTGATTTGTTAAATGTTAATACATTTGAAGAAGCTGAATCATATATTAAAAGGATAAACTCTGAAATTCAGAAACTTGGCATTGAAATCAAACAAAACGTTAAAAAACAGAAGAAAGCTGATGTGAATCAACAGAAAGAGTATGTGAAGAACTGTGGAGAAATGGATGACTTGTTCAATCGTTTAACAATGTCCAAAGCAGAAATTTCGGAAATTAAGAGGAAATATGATGAAACATTGCAAGTAAACGAAGAACTTCAAAGGCAATTGAATTATTCAAAGGATTATTCCGAGTCCAAACTAAACGAATGTAAAATTGCTTCGCAAACGAAAATTGATGAAATTTTGAATTCAAATAAGCAATTAATGAACACTTTAGCATTGGAAAGAGCCAAAAGTAAGGATTTGTATGAGAAGAACAACGCACTTTATGAAGAAAATAAAATTTTGAGGCGAGAAAAAACAAAATTAAACTCAAAAGTCGAAAAACTTCAAAGACAAAAAGAAACCATTGTTGGAAAATTGGAAATGCAGAATAAGGTGACAATTCTAGAACTCAAAAATCAGCTTTCTGCTCTTAAAGAACAAAATGAGATTATTTATGAGAATGATCAATCACAGATTAGCCGATTGAGCGATTCAAATCGAAAGTTAATGCAAGACAAAGATAAAACTGACGAGATTAACTCTGAACTAGTGAAAACAAATAATCAATTGTCAATTAAGGTTCAAAAACTAGAACTTCAAATCACAGAGTTGCAAAATAAAGGAACTCAAATGAAGAAGATGCTTGAAGAGCAGATGAACTCAACAGATATTATTAACAATTTTAAATTTGAAAATCAAATCAATAGTTTGAGAGATGAATTCAGTCAAGAGAAAAGAAGGATATTTGGGTTTGTAGCCAAAGAGTTTTCTTTTATATTTGATCCTTCGCAAGAGCTTAATGACCAGAATTTCGAAATATTTATACAAAATCTCCATAAAAAGTTCGAATTCTTGTTATCTATTGATTCTAAGTTGAGGCTCTTATTGAAACTTGGACCAAAACAATCAATTGTTGATGCTGTATCGATTCTCTTATTGAAATAATAGATACAATGTGGAATAATTCTGCTTTAATGTTGTTTGAATAAATTTATTGTGTTGTATATTGATTTCTGATATTTTTCAAAATATTTCAATTTTTTACAATTTTGCTGAGTATTCATTAATATTCAACTAGAAAATAATATTGTGTGTTAACATTTCAAGATATATTGTTCTAAATTGAGAGTTGTAAACAGATTTCAATTCCGCATTAGATGAAAAATCATAATGGAAGGATGGCATGCTTAAAATTAGCAATGATTGCTTTATATAATGATAATTCTATCGTAATTCGAGAGTAAAACGAAAAAGACAAAATTGAAAATTCTGAGTTTATAACCCAAAATGGCGTTCTCATGTCCTAGCTTAATCTCTCTTTGTGCGCATTCTATTTTATTCACATTAATCTTGTATAAATACCTGCAATAAAAAATTTACAGAAATTTCTCAAAAGTCAATATAATTAAGGATTTTGATAACATTAGAAATGATATATTAGATCAAAATTATAACTCTTTTTGTTTGAAAAGTACCGATAATATTTTGTGAAGCTTTGTCAGAATTTTTGAAATTCAAAAATAAATTTTTATTGTTGAAATTTATTTATTGTGGAAAATTTAACAAGTTTTATTTTTGGATTTATTGAAATTTTGAACTCCAATTAAAATTGATCGAAATTTAAATTAATAGAGAATTAATTTCTTAAAAGGTTATACTATGATTTTGATATGGATGATGTAAATTTATGCAAATTCAATTCAATCTTGATTTTGGATCATCCAATTATTAAAAAGAAGAGCCGTGTAATTCAAATAAAAAATTAAGAACGATTATTCAATAATCTTGTTTTTTGACAAAATTGAGAAATATTTGGTCTTTAAAGAAAAATATTTTATTATAATTCTAATTTAGACTTTATTTTTCGTGACTAAAATTTTTGTCATCTCTCTCTCAAAAAAACATTATTTTCAATAAATGTGCTCTCACGTGTGTAAACTTGTAGTTTTAGGAGATTCAAGCGTAGGAAAAACTTCAATAATCCACAACTTCATCAACAAAGAGTTCGTTGCCAATTTCAAATCAACAATTGGAGCAGATTTCTCTTCGACAGAAATCGATGTCGATCAAAACAAGATTGAATTGCAGATATGGGACACTGCAGGCCAAGAGAGATTCCATTCCGTAAGCTCTACGTTTTATAGAGGCTCTGACGCCTGCATTTTAGTCTTCGATATCACGAACCATGACTCGTTCAAAAATCTTTGCAAATGGAGGCAATCAATGCTTGAAAAAGGTGGAATGGACGATACAAGATCTTTTCCATTTATTATTATGGCAAATAAATCTGACCTTGAAAGCCAGCAAGCTGTTTCCCAGGAAGAGTATATGTCATACGCTAGTGAAATTGGAGCTAAGGTTATAAATGTTAGCGCCAAAACTGGCATTAATATTGAAAAAGCATTCGAATTTGTCGGTAAAGAATACCTAAGGGTTTGTTCTCAATATGTCCATCAGCTTGGAACTAATATTAGACTATGTCAGCCCCTTGTTAAACAGTCCCAATGTTGCTAATTGTTTTATTGTTATTGTTTTTTGTTTCTCTTTCTGTTAATTGTTCTTTATATTACATGTACGATTTGTTTATAAACTTTCTTGATACTAATTAATTAAAAGTTCTTTCTAATTTTTCCAAAAATGAATCAAATTTCTAATCAAAAGCATAGCCGGATTCTTTCAAGTATAAAAATAGTATCTAAATAGTTTAAAAGAATAGTATTTACTATAATATAGCAAAAGTAGGTAATTCAGAAGTAAGCACGGGATAGAGGTTCATAACCAGGTTTCCACACTGGACAAAGTTCATTTAAATTGAATGCATTATTTCGTTTTGATAGATTTTCTACATTTCTTGCTTTTGGATCAATAATCATTTCATATTCTTGGTTTTGGCTTGAGGAACTACCATCAATGGTGGAGTTGTCATAGCTGTATAAATTCTGTTGCCTGAAATATTCAGATCCGTAATTGTTATAGAAATATGAGTTCATGTGATTTGAACAAATTTTTCGATTTGAGAGCAAAATCTTTGACACTTCATAAAAAGAGAATTGAATGGTTTATAAAACGATTCAACAGAAATTGTTCGTATTTCGATTAATAATACTGTTTACCATTATTCGTTAAATATTTTTGATTTCATCGTATTTAAAATCAGTAATTAAGGCTAATTTTGGATTGCCGAAAGCCTCTGTGCATAGATTCCAATATTGCTTTAGTATGATTTTCTTTTGATAAAATTGAATTTTGAACTTTGCAATTTTTATTCAAAATTTCTAGAAGCAATATGAACAAAAATAGTGCAAGCAATTAAATTCAATAATAGTTTAGTTGTCTTTATATATTTTTTATATGCTAATTTCAATTTTCATGAAAGGAACACTTTTTAACTTCTCTATGATAATAATTCCTCAGCTGTATAGGTATGTGAGTGATTATATAGGAGATTCCTTTTAAGATTGTTAACATCTTGATATGGAATATAATGAAACAACTTCATGATGTTAAAATAAGCCAACCTATACTTTAAGAAACTGATGAAATATATTTTATGATTAATACAAACATTGCTATAAATTTTTAATTTTATGGAGCCTTGCCATATAAAATTAGGACTTCAAGGATGGCCCCTGCTTGGCAGGACTATGGATCATTAAAGCATTTCCTATTATCAATAATGTATCATCACACCTTAATTTTGATATTGCGAGAGAAGAATATTAAATATTACATTTTCAACTGTTTTTCTTCTAGAAAATAAATCAATACCAAATCCATAATTATCTTTTGAATAGTTAGTATGGTTAACTTGGGTACGGCGGCACTGCGTTCCACCTTACCCAACTTAACCTTAAATATTTACGAAACCAGTAACGTATATTTTACAACACAACCATAACACCAACTTAACCTTAAATATTTACAAAACCATCTAACACATAAACGACTTCACTAACGACTTCACTAACGAATTCCCTACCGTCCTCACTAAATAAAAATAACCTTATTTTTATTTTTTTTTAATTTTTTATTTCATTACAAAGACATGTCCGACTACATTTACTATGACTCTTTCCCAGAACGTTTCCGTGAACTATTCAAAACTCAAGTAAAACTGAGAAACATGCATTTTAACAAAGACAGACCCATTGACGATGAAAGAAATCCTGAATATATTATAATACCTTATGATGCTAAATTTATTGCATACATTCCTTATGGACGTAGAGGAACGAAAACTATTTCAACAAAGAACAAAAATTATTTCTGGAGCGATGAAGAAACTTGCCTTATCTACATAAATGCATACTTAAATAAAGCTACATATTGTACAAAAGAAGGTTGGACTGGATTTGAGCTCTACATATACGACGACGATGGAAACAGACGTTGTGTATACCCATACGATAATATGTACCATTGTTTTCATCAAGCATTAAACGAATACATAGTCAGTAAGGGTCTCATTCCTGCTGAGTAGAAATGTTATATTTTTGTTCTGTCATTTATAAAAAAATAAACTTAAAAATTAATGATATCACCACCATCACACGTATGAAAACATCCATTTAAATTTAGGGTAGAAGGTTAGATCTAACCTCATTTCTACCCTCATTTCTACCCTGTTGAATTCATTGTTTTATAACTCTCTTCCTTGGTTTCTTTTTAGTTGCTTTCTTCACGTCTGTCTCCAACTTGACTGTCTTTCTTCTTCGTCCGTAATGATACCAGTTACTTCCACCAGTCAATGGGTCAAATGGTCTTTCGTAAGGGTTTCCATACATTCCATAGGGACCATACGGAAGAACTACTGGTGGAGAAGAAACATTTTCTTTAGTTCCATCGAATCTATTTAAATGCATTGTTTCACCTTTCATCTGGTCATTAAAGTCTTTTGCGTGTTTTGCAAACTCATCGTCCTTTCCTAAAGCATTTTCTGACTCAGTCGCAACCAAATTAGATGCTTTATTTATGAGCCCTATTTTATTTAATCTTAACTTCTTTGCAACCCAGCCTCCAATCTTCCCTTTATTTGCATCTAATGTCTTTGAAACCCTTCCTCCACTCATTTTATTTACTGCGTCATAAGCTCCAAGTGCTTTTGCTCCAAATGCTAATGCTTTTGTTCCCATTGCGCCTAAAGCTGCCCAAGCTACCATTTACACCATATTAAAATCATCTCTCTTCAATATTATCTCATAAAAGTTCTCGTTACTGGAGAAAGTCAATGAAACATAAGCGTTCTCACGGGCTTCGCCCTCACCGCTTTGCGGTCTATCTAACTTCTTTCTTATCTCATCTATACGCTTCAAAATGTCTGAACAATTGCTAACATCTTCTACAACAGTTATTTCATCATGAATGACCTTCAAGAACAAGCTCATTTAATATGCTATTAAAATCATTCAATAATGAGTCCATCCTTTCCGTCTTTAGGTAGCACAACATCTTTCATTGAAGAAGGTTCGACAAGTCTTATGTTAAACTTACTGACAAAGTTTGTTATACTATAATGCTTCGGCGGCGAATACATGTAGTTTGAAAGACATAATATAGATTCTTCAGCAAATTCACTTATACTGGATTTTATAACAATGTTCTCACGAGACCAAATACCACCAATTGACAATCTTGTAAGCAATCCTGCTGAACCTTCAACTGTAAACGTCGATGGTAACATTCCACGAAGGTCATCTATTGACATCGTTGAGTCACTGTATTTAAAGATTTTCTTAAAGCAATCGTCATTATCTAACCATGCAATAGCTTTGAAGTTTTCATTCGAATATACATCTGCTTCATTAAATGTAAACCTGACTTCTTTGCAGAGACGACTTTAAAATCTATTGAGTTTGTTTCAAAATTATATGCTATGGTAACTTCTGAAGGTAATGGATGTCCTTCCGCAGTCAGTTGTTCTTTCACTACCATTTGAAGCTTTGTGTTAAAAACTTTCATGTCATCTCCTGTATCTAAGTTCACATACACAGCAACAGGGAAACTATCTTGCTTCTTTGTTTCATCATTATATCTCAAAACATTAAAGTTCTTCAATAATATTGTCTTCCTGCTGGAATACTTCTAACTTGTCTGATTTCAATAGCTTTCTCACCTCCTACATACTCTACCCAGTGTCTTGGATATTCATAAGTATACTGACTTTCTTGAATTTTGGTAGGTTTCATCATAACGTGTTCATAGTATATCTTTATACTCTTGTCAGTTAGACTCGGTGCCATGTTCTGAATATTTCTGACTTGCATTTTTAATGGAGATAAAATGAAGCATTTAATACATGACGTAGATGAAGACATGAATGAAACTACAGACAAACTTAACTCTTCTCTCATTCTTCCTTTCAGTAAGGACTATGAGTTCTGTTCAAATGGTGTTTATTTCTATTGTGGAAAGATGGGTTCAGGTAAGACATTTAACCTCATTCGTCATATACTCATAACAGAGCGTTTAGGAAACGACTCTTACTATGACCAAATCATTATATCAGCAACTTCAGACTCTATGGATACAACAGCGAAAACATTTATGTCAAAAGTTCAAGCCTCTGTCGTTAAAGTTCCAGACAGTGAACTCATTAAATTTCTTCAACGTTACATTCGACGTAAGAGGAAATATTATGCCATCGTTGAATTTATACAGTCAGGAATGCAAAAGACTTCAGAAGAGATGGAAAGAATTATTGACAAACACCACTTACGTCAGTACTCAGGAGTTTACGATATGAAACGACTGACAAACTACATTCTATCAAAACTTTCAAAATACCCCTTCAAAAAGTATCCTTCAAATACTCTGCTCGTTTGTGACGACTTCGCCGGAAAAGGTTTAGTGTCAAAGCCTGACTCACCATTAGCTAACATCATAACTAAAGTCAGACATTACCATTTAACTGTAGCAATACTTATGCAAACATGGCGTTTCCTTGCTTTAAACATAAAACGTCTCATAACTGACTTCGTTATCTTTCAAGGTTTCTCACGCTATGATATTGAACTCATTTGGAAACAGTCAGGTATAACATTACCTTTTGAAGAAATTTGGGAAGCATATAAGTCTCTCATCTCTCCTCGTTCATACCTTGAGATTCATATCATGACTAATACCATTAAAGTCAAAAATATTCCATGGGAACGACCAACATTGTTTTAAATTTATGCTTTAATTGACTGATGGTAAACAAATTCCATGCATCTCTGTCGCCATTTCTGTTAATATTTTTGCTGTCATTCATATCATCCACTTCCCCATCCGTTAGCTTTTGAGGATATGCGTTAGAATAGCTGTTCTTAAATGAAGGCTTTTCACCTTTGAGAGCATAAACTCTATAACTTTCTGCATACTTTATGTTTGAACCTCCTGAGCCATCATTGACATAAATTTTTATAGGCTTCCACCCTTTGTTCATGTTCCTGCTTCTTCCCTTTGCTCTTTTGTTCAGTAGTTCTACATCTTTATACACAGCACCTGTCTCAGTGAATTCAACAATATTTTCATTCGTTAGCTTTACATTCAAACCCTTGTCGAGTATATTGTTCATTTCATACATATAAAAGGTTTTTATTCTATATGAAATGAGAAGCAAATCCATCTTAGCTGGTGCCGTTAATGTTCCAATTGAACCAACATCAAATGTTGACTCACGAACGACAAACAATATTGTCATAAAGAACTATAGTTCGGAGTGTTTGAAAGAAAAAGAACCAGAACTTAAGTCGGTGAATTTAAACTCAGCTTCAAACGCTAACGCTACATCAGATGTTAAGTTAGAGTATCCACCACTGGACCAAATTCTTTCAAGAGAAGCCAACGACAACCCTTACACAAATGTTCAAACAAATCCTTCAGATAACGTAGACCATTACCTTCTTCAGTTATACCAAACAATTTTACTCAAAGACGATAAGAAGCTTTTGACAAATCTTATAAGCAAGAACCAAATAATTCTAACAAAGGAGGACCTTGAAAATGTTATATCACGAATAACAGGGAAGCAATGTGTCATTGACTATCTCGACCCTGAAATCGAATGCTGTGGTCAAACGCCACCATTCATGAAAATAGGTAACATCCGCATCATTGAAACACCAGGAACTACAGGAGTTGAGTTTAAGTATAAATATTCGAACGAGTATACAAAACTTTCAACAGAATATAAACTTTGCTTGAAATATGTTTTAGTAAATTAAAGCAATTTGTAATATCTATCCAAAACTTCTTCAACAGTATCGAACTCATCTTCATAATGCAAACCTAATCTTATTGACTTGGTGCAGTTTTCACTAACACAATATTTTTCTGTTCTCTTGACTGACATAACTAACTCATTTGTTTCATCAAACAGCAACAACCAAAGTTCATGACCTAATACATAACATTCATACTTTATATTTTTAGCTCTGAGTTCTCTTGTAAGCTGTTGCATTTAATATTTTCTAAAAAGTCAACTTCAACAGTCATTCGCACTGGTGCCTTCAGTTCTACAGGCTCTCCTTGAAAGTCAACAAGTCTGAATTGCATGTCTTTCAAATTATGAGGACTAATGCGAACCCATTTACCTAAATGAGTTGCTATGACAGGAACATTTGGAATGAACATTGAATTTACTGCATAACAGAAAGACTTATATTCTACTGAACCTTTACTATTAACTCCTGAAATACCTGTGACATTAGCTATTTTTGACTCAATGTACAAACAATTGCCATAACATACGTATGGAACAGATTTCATCTCAATCGTTTTGTCAACACTTTTCAAAGGAAATGTCATATGGTATGCTCCTAAAAGAAGTTGAACTCTATGACTCATTCGTGTTATCTTGAACTCTTTCTTGCTACTGAACTTCAATGTTCCCTCAGAAGAGAGTTCGACATCTATGTTGTCAATAGTTTCTTCATTTATGAGAGTATCTATGACTCCAGCAATTTTATCTATTCTATACTCTGCTCTGTTAGGAAATGTTATAAAACTTCTTTTGTCATCTATTTCAATCTCTATGAAATCTGTTTCATCTGTTATGACAAAAGTTGCGATAGTATTGAAGTCAACAACTCTGAAAGCAAGTGCTTCATTCTGAAGACCTAAGTTTGTTTGTAGCTTTACTGTCCCGTATTCGTTTGGGTCTGTACTTTGCAAATAGAACAACATTTTATTCTCATTAAAATATGAGTATAGCTGCATATGCGTATGAAACAAATGAAGCAAGAAGAGCACATGAACTAGTAAACGAAAACTCAACTTTAACCATTGAAGGCAATGATTTAGTCATTGACGATGGAAAAACTAAAAAAGTCATTGATTTCGATACTTTTAACACTTATGACCCATTCATTACAACAAGCAAGGTTCCCATCATAAATGATGGAACGGTGCAATATATAAATTCAACAGTAGATGCCTCATTAGTGAAAGTATTAAATGTTCTCATTGAATTGTTAAAGAGCTTTCGATTTGACGACAACATTAAATGCTTAAAGAATTTAGTCATGAATGAGAAACAAATTCTTGGCGTTGCTGGTAGCAGTAATGACGTACACCTTATGACATTAGAATATTATAACGAACATAAAGATGAACTGAAAGGAGAGAAGGGTGACACCGGACCTCAAGGACCTCAAGGACCACAAGGAATACAAGGAATACAAGGAATACAAGGACCTCAAGGCGAGAACGGTTTGGATGGTGTAGATGGAAAGGATGGAAAAACTGCTAAATCATGGATATGGAACCTTATAAATACTGGTTTAACAGCTGCTTCATATGGAGTTCTTCAATACCAAATCGGAAAGATATGGGCAGTACTTGGTGAAGAAGTTTTAAATGACGTTAAAAATGCTTTGAACTTCATTTCAAATGGTTCGGATACTATTAAAACTTTATCTGGTTGGATGCAAGAAACAAGGAGTCAAATAGATACTGTAAGACGTATAGCAAACAATGCACGTACGGGATTGGATACTTTACGAGAAGCACAAAATACACTAAAGGAAGCAAATGATATTCTTGGCTCAGTATCAGACATGCATGAAGATTGGCTTAAAGGTATTGACAAATCTTTAAAAAATCACAGTCAGTCTATTGCTGACTACAAGAAAAGTATAGATTTTTTACATAGTGCTATGGACGTACATGATGGAAGCATAAGGAACTTACTTAATGCTAACAATAACTTACCAGGAACTATTAAAGCATTTATAAAGTCCTTTGTAAAACCTGGTGCTCTAACATTTAGGTCTTTGAGAGCAAGAGCATTGAAGTCAAGAGATGCAGAAACTCCAACAGAACCTACAGAAGGAACTGAAACAACAGAAACTCCAGAAGAACCACCAAAACCAACAGCTAATGAAATATTGTTCGAATATTTTCCAAGGTACTCTGTTCTCATTGCATACATTCAAGAAATACTTAAGAAAGCAGACTTGACTTTAGGAGATGATGAAAGTTCTGTATATCTTTCGTTCCAGTTTCAAATAGCAGAACTTTTGAGACAGATATGCTTAATGTATGACAACATCTCTGATTTCACAAGATATGATGACGACCATGACCCCGAACACGGTGAAGAAGAAGTTTTACAAACATCCATTAAGACAGGAAAGGTTTTAACACAAAGTCTCATTATTGACACCAAAGATGGCGAAGTGGACGTTCTTCAAGAGCTGAAGAAAAATACTTCTTCGGGAGGTGGTGGTAGGCATGAACTTGAAATAAATGAGATAGAGAAGAGAAATTAGCCGAAAAAGCAGATAAAGAACATAAACACAATATCTCCGATATAAATGAACTTCAAGCTACATTAAATAGTAAAGCGGACAAGAACCATGTTCATTATATAAGTTCAGATGAACAGATTATAACGGACTATCATGGATATTTAACACGAAGTGATGAAGCGAAGACAAAAAATGTTAATGAAAGAAGATATAAATACATTCGTGCTAAAGGTTATGACATAAGCTGTACTGTACAGTATGATGTAGCTAAAGCACCAGAAGCATTTGGTTATACCGGTGAAATTTATGCCTCTACTTTCAATGTTAACGGTGTACTAGTTGAACCAAGATTTACTTTGAGAGTTAAGTCAAAAATAACGTTTGAAGATGCTATTAAAAGTAAAGCTGACAAAGATGAACTCGAAGCAATGAACAAAGTTTTGAAATCTCATAAACACAATATCTCCGATATAAATGAACTTCAAGCTACATTAAATAGTAAAGCCGACAAAAATCATACACATAAATCCTTCACTACTGTTAGAGCAGACGATGTAATATTGAACTTTGACCTTGGTTCAAGTGCACCTTTAGAGAATCCGAGTACAAGCGTAAAAGATACTCTTAACAATTTAGATAAGAGTTGCAGGAATATTGAAAGTCATGCCAGAAACTTTGAAGCACATGAACTACCAACAATGTTAGATAAGAAAGCTGACAAGAACCATACACATAAATCCTTCACTACTGTTAGAGCAGACGACATAATATTGAACTTTGACCTTGGTTCAAGTGCACCTTTAGAGAATCCGAGTACAAGCGTAAAAGATACTCTTAACAATTTAGATAAGAGTTGCAGGAATATCGAAGGTCATGCCAGAAACTTTGAAGCACATGAACTACCAGCAATGTTAGATAAGAAAGCAGATAAAACTTATGTGGATGCAGAACTAACAAAGAAATTTTCGAAACCAGATACAATGACATTTACAACAGAAATTATAAATGGTGAACCAGCAACTCCATTTGAATTTGTTAGAGGTCTTCAACCAGATACTTTTGAATTTTTCTTGGATAATTCTATTGAACTAACATTACATTATAAAAGTGGAACAAATGCAACATTTCATCCGGGAGATACATTCCAAATGGTATTTAATGACATAAGTTCTTTAGAATATGTTTATAGAGTTATGAGCATATATGATTTAATATATCCTATAGGAGCTGTTTATACGTCTATGAATCCAATAAATCCAAACACTTTATTTGGTGGTAGATGGTATGAAATAGTTGACAGTTTTCCATTCTACACTAATACGCAGTCAATGAAGATGGGAGGTTCAAAGAAAATAGGTATTGAAAACCTTCCTTCACATATGCATAGGTTCAGTGGAAGAACATCTGTGGAAGGAAACCATTCACATTCAATAACAAAAAGAGGTTATATAAATCTTGCAGCGGGTTCGAATAGACAGGGAATGAACAGATATGATATCTCAGATGACCCCAAAGATGTTAGCACAGGTATTTTCTGTGGAACTGCAGGAAATCATACACATGTTGTAGCTGGTATTACAGACCCAGCAGGTAATGGAAAAGATTATATGCCTCCTTATATAACAATGCACGCTTGGATACGAGTTGGTTAAACTCTTTAACTTTACATAAATGAGCTTGAAAGAAGTATTCGAACAACATCCATGGAGGTCATTTAAGAAGTTCAATGAAGCAGCAAAAAGTTGGGGATTTACTAACAGAGCTGAAGTGAAAAAGTTCTTTGACAAAAATGTTGTACATCAAACAAAAATAAACCCTTACGACTACTTTTTACCAATTTACTCCAACACTCCTGACGCATACCAATTTGACACTCTCATTCAAAGCAGAAAAGAAGGACATAAACCATTCCTCATCTTCATTAATGTTAACACTCGTAAAGCATATGCATATCCAATGAGGAATAAAGGAACTCGTGAAGTGTTAAGAGTTTTACAAAAGTTTGTAGCAGAACATAACCCAAGTACTTTAACATCAGACCAAGACAGTGCATACCTCAGCAATGAAATCACAGAATTTCTCATTAAGCATAACATAACTCACTACACTACTGAAGACCATAACCATAACATACTCGGCATCATAAACCGCTTCATAAGGACTCTCAGAGATTTAAACCAAGAGCGAGACTTTACCGAAGAAACAATGAAACATTTTCTCGAAGTATATAATTCCTCAACACATTCTACAACAGGACATACACCAAATTCAATGACACAACAACAAGAAGAAAAGTATATACAAAAGAAACGAAGCCAACACAAAATATCAGAAATTCAACACAATTTACCCTCATTCCTGGTACAAAAGTTCGTGTAGTCCTTGACGACAAACCGTTGACAAAGAAACGTTTAAGGTTAAGTAGAAACTATTATATCGTAGACTCTACGCAAGGTAATGGATATCTTATAAAAGCTGCTGACGACTCCATTGCATTTTACCCTCGTCATAAATTAGTCGAAAGTAGTAATGGCAACTTGCTGAAACCATTGACGAAGCAAAGCGAGGAGTGGTTATTGAAATACTTGACTATAACATAAACGATGACACTTATAAAGTAGATATTGAAGGAGGTGTTGAAGATGTTATACCATCTAAGAACTTGAGAGAGTCAAAGCAAACATCTGGGACCATTAGAGCGGAGTACTGGAAAGACAAAAATATGCCAGAAAGAATAAGAAAATTCTTCTAAACTTTTTCATTAGATGTAAATCAGACATGAATGAGAACAGTCATGTATTATTAATGGTACCATTTATTTTAACATAAAGACGCAAAGCGGCGAGGACGAAGTCCAGACCAAAAATAATGTTAGGGTAGATGGTTAGATCTAACCTCATTTCTAACTCATTTCTACCTCATTTCTACCCTCTTGAATTTTCATGAATTTTCCCGAAATAAAAAATAAAGTTAGTTTTATTTTATTTATTTTGTATTTTTTTGTATGTAAGACATGATTTCAGGGATTTTTTTTGACGAAGTGTCAATCTTCACTTCGTCAAAAATAACAGTTATCTAATGAAAAAGTGTCATTTTTTGTATTTTTTTGTATGTAAAGACATGATTTCAGGGATTTTTTTTGACGAAGTGTCAATCTTCACTTCGTCAAAAAATAAACAGTTATCTAATGAAAAAGTGTCATTTTTTGTATTTTTTTGTATGTAAAGACATGATTTCAGGGATTTTTTTGACGAAGTGTCAATCTTCACTTCGTCAAAAAATAACAGTTATTTTCTAATGAAAAGTGTCATTTTTTTGTATTTGACGAGAATGTCGGGTAGATGTAGATCTAACCTCATTTCTAACCTCATTTCTACCCTCTTGAATTGTCAAGACTTCTTCGTAAATGTTTTGTCAAGACTTCTTCGCAATGTTTTTTCACCTCTTTTTTCACCTCTTGAATTTTCATGACTTCTTCGTAAATGTTTGTCAAGACTTCTTCGTAATGAGTGTAAAGGACCCAAAAATAATGTTTAGGTGAAGAGGTTAGATCTAACCTCATTTCTAACCTCATTTCTACCCTCATTTCTACCCTCTTGAATTTTCATGACTTCTTCGTAAATGTTTTGTCAAGACTTCTTCGTAATGAGTGTAAAGGACCCAAAAATATATTTTAGGGTAGATGGTTAGATCTAACCTCATTTCTTAACCTCTTTCTACCCTCATTTCTACCCTCTTGAATTTTCATGAATTTTCCCGAGAATAAAAAATAAAGTTAGTTTTATTTTTTTTATTTTTTTATTTTGTATAAAGATATGATTTCAACAATCGGCACAACAACAATTCAAACAACAGCACCAAACTCGTTAGTCATGAATCCAACATCTATGTTAGTAGAGATGAAAAGCTTCATTCCTTCTTCATATACTTTTGAAACAGAAATCCAGAAGATAAAGCAAGAACTTTTAACAAGTAATTTAGACTGTAGTGCGAAAGATGAAACAAATGAACAGTATCTTTATGAAATGCAGGACCTCATCGACCATTTACCCAAACTACCTGAAATCCAACAACAAAAAACTCACTATTCCTGAATTCGACGAAATTGAAGTCAAAGCAACTGACTCAGTAGAAATAAAGAAGTTCATACGAAAGGTAAACTATGAGTTTCTAGGATTTCATTGCAACCATAAGGTTATGGACAAAGATTGCGATATGGTATATAGAATGTTTCTGCATATATAAATCTGAAGAATTTAAGACCTACGACAACTTTGTTTCGTTAGTTGCTGAATGTGTATGGCAGATAAGAGATAAAGATAGAAGAGGTAAGGTATGGAACAAACAAATAAGACCCGCTATGTTTGAGATGAAGAGAGCAATTGACGCTTTAGTTGTTTTAGCTGGTTTTATTTCAATGTATAACGCAAAAATGAACCCGCAATGTTCAAAATGTAAGGCAGCAATTAGGAAATATAACTACTCCGTCAAAGAGATAGAACGTATGAGAAACGACTATGCTGACTTAAAGAAAGAAGTAGAGAAACCAGCAGAAGATAAAATGGACATGTTAGAATTTCTGAACAAAAACTATCCAACAGCAGAAGATTTCCTTCTATCTGACGTCAAGAAGAAATATAAAGAAACTTTCGGCATAGTTAAAACATTCGATGTACTAAAAGAAGAAATAGAGGCTACAAAACTGTTTAGAGTCTCACGAATTCATAACGTTTACCATGTAAAACGCTTATAAAATAACTGGGTAGAAATGAGGTTAGATCTAACCATCTACCCTAAAATATATTTTTATTGAATTCAGCACAAAATTCTGAGTAAAATAATTTTTAGGGCACGTGTCAAACCGTTGAGTTTTCACAAAATTCCAAAAATAACGTTTACCATGTAAAACGTTTATAAAATAACTGGGGTAGAAAAGAGGGTAGAAATGAGGTTAGATCTAACCATCTACCCTAAAATATATTTTTATTGAATTCAGCACAAAAATCATGAATTTCCTTAAGATAGAAAAAATAAAGTTAGTTTTTTTTATTTATTTTTTTTATTTTGTATGTAAAGACATATATGTCAAACATTGAGTTTGAAACAGTTAGAAAGATAGACAATGACACCAAATTGGTTAGAATAGGTGATTTAACGTAAGATACTCAAAGAAATACAACAAATATTCTTTGTCAGACATTATATCTCCATCTGGAAAGAAAACACACGAGTGGGTTAGAAAATGCTTCAACTCAGAAAATTTTGACAAGAAATCCTGAGCTTATGATATCAGTAAGATTCTATGGACTACAGCATATCTCATCGACAAAAGTCTTATACCATAGTTTTGTATGGATTGACCAGTTGTTGGATATAACTTCATAACTTATGGTTCATTCGATACGGAACGTTGCAGTGAAGGCTTACTTTACATCGTTCAGAAACCGAAGGACTTCAACACAAAAAGATATAAGATAGGAAGGACATATATTATAACTCAAAGATATGACTCTACAGTCAATAGAGTCACGGTTGTGTTCGTTAATGATATGAGAGCCGCAGAAACAGAACTACTTGAAAAGTTTGAGAAAATGTATGGTGCTCCCATAAAAGGTAAAGAAACGTTTGAAGTAGATGAGATAGATAAAGCTATAAAATTATTTGACGAAGTTGCTGAAAAATACATGTAAAGCGTTTATTTTTGGTCTTTTGTGAAAGTCAGAAATAACGCTAATTTTATTTTATTTATTTTTTTATTTTGTATGTAAAGACAGTAATGACAACATCAGAGAACACAACAGTTATAGTCCATGAAACTATAAATGAAGAATACGAATACATACAGTATAACAAACAGTTACGTCTCATTCGTTCAGTCAAAGATGACATGTACCAAATGCAAAGTATAATGAATGCTCTTCGTTCTACAAAGCAAGCATATCATTGGTTTGAAAACCAACAGACAAAAGAACTTTTGAAGAATTTCCTCATATGATTGCTTCCCTCGGAAAACGAGAGAAGAGATTCCGTACGAAAATCGCAAGAATTTGCACCTGGTTTGAAAGGTTATTATGTTCATAGACTTTTAGTAAACGCTGTAGCAATGTGGGCTTCACCTCGTTATGCTTGTTATATTTTCATGATGTTAGATGAACTATATAAAGCAGAACGTGGAGAGATGGAAAAGAAACTTCAAGCAAAAGATGAAGTCATTGAATCCAAAGACAAAAGCATACAGAAAAGAATACCGCGTTCGGTACCAAAAGGAAAGGAAAAAAGCTATAAGTATATGATTTACGCTGAAGAGATGGAGAAAGAAGAAGACAGAGATATGGTTATGTTGCATTTAGTCAGAAGAAATAACAAGAGCTTTTATGACCTTGCTAAAATATATAAATCTGACAGAAATTGGTTCTATCGTGAAAACTTACCGATTTCAATGACACCGAATGAGCAAATAAAGGAAATTGTCAAAAATACTCTTCCTCAAACACACTATGACATCAAAGGTTGCACAATACTTACATTCAAAGAAGACTTAACATTACTGAAGGAAAAAATAACAGAATATTTCGATAACTTCAAAGAGGAAGAATAAAAAAATCTAAGCTAATTTTATTTTTTTATAAAATTTTATCTCATATGAAAGAACATGAATTTAGAATATTCGGAACTCATGACAGAAGAAGAGAACGAACAACATGTAAAAGATTATGCAAAATTTCTGAAGACATACAAAGCATTTAAACAATATCTAAATGCTTCTAAAGATTATGCAAAATTTCTGAAGGTATATAAAGCTTATGAAAAAGCGTATGAAAAGTTTATACATTGGGGAATTGTTGTAAAATATCGATATGAAGACTAACCAAAAATATATTTTTGCTTAAATGACGTCAGGGTCTATTTCTTCAACCATTTCACTTCCTTCGTCAATGTCAATAGAAGCCTCTTCAACCTTTGGTAAGAATTTCTGTATAACATCTTTGTTCGTTATTGTCTTCAGAGATGAAGGATAATATTTCACATTTGTTTCACCCTTCTTATATTCTTTCTGTTCGGAAAGATTTAAAGCAATACTGAAGAAGTCAACGTTAGAGTTCTTTATAACAGTATAGTGTGTATCTTTGACATTGACGAAGAAACTCTTTTGTTTCAAAACTACTGCTAACTCT